ACAGCCTTCACGCCCGCCTTATTATTTTTATACGGTGCGATTTCTAGTAAAGAAATATCGCATATTTTTCCTTTGTTTCTGTTTGCCTTAATATTTTTATACAGGGCGATTTTTTGTATAAGAAATATCGCATATGTTTCCTTTTTTTCCAGACCATAGAATCATCAGAGGAGGGAACCAGAAATGCTACGTCACGTGCTTTAATTAACCCTCGCAACGTTCGCGAGGATCAGCTTTAACTACCGAGCGACGACGGCCTAAAACAGAGGACATGTAAATGAAGTTCCCGAAATAATGTAGCTATTAGAATATACATTAAAATTTCTATGTTACTATTAAGCATTTAGTACATTTCATTGCAGGTAATTTTTTATCCATTTTTCTGTGAGAAAATGCACCATCCCTTCTTGGCGCCACCTCAAAAAGAAGCTTAGCAGAATTTATATATAAATGAATGTTAAAATCCAGACTCTCCCTTTTTTTTTATTCGAGTGCCTATTTTTATCAGTCACGATATTGATTCCTCTCTGCCCCGTATATGTAATGTGTACATGGTTTCTAATCTCGCCATCGTCATTTTCCAATAGACCTCGGGATTACGTTGAAACCGAAGCTTTTTTGGACCACGCCATTTTTTCTGTGAGGTTTGGAAAGGATAATCTATTCACACAGGGTTTATGGTGACAGTGGTGGAAGCTTAACACAGTCGCGCTTGGAGATGATGAGATGCTTGATGAGATGAAAAAGCTAATTAGAAAATGAACCGATAATAATTTGAAAAAAATGCACTGAACTGGGAACTGTTGAAAATTAAACTCTTGATTAGCAACTGTTGAAATTCAAACTTAAGAAACTTAAGCAAACGAAGAAAGAAAGAAAAAAACACCAACGGAACAGGGCGTCCTTTCTGAACCGCCAAATATACTTATTCTGGCTGAAAATCAAACCGCAGGTCTAGTTTCCAATTACATTAAAGAAATGCAAGGTTAATATTTTGTGAAAGCTCCAAGAACACGGCAGTGAGGAAATCATTCGCTGCAGAATATGAGCTCTGAAGCGAGATCGGGAATTGAAGCAAGTTTTCTTTTTAAAACGAAAGCGCCTGGGCGAGCTAAAGATATAAGATCATGGAAGGAGATGCTCTTGTGACTCTGCAAGGCGACATTGAGCGAGAGCTCATACATGTTCTTTTTTTTACATTTTAAACAAAAGCAGAACTTTAGAGGGACAATGAGAGCTTCTCTTCTCTAGGTTTTTTTATTTGTAAATGATATATGAACGCCCAGCTGGCAAAACACATCTTGATGCTCAAATTCGTTTTTTTCTCCTCCCAAAAATTGCCGATTGAGAATTGGATCGTTTGAATCGCGCTCAATTTTCTTTAACGTGTTCACGTGCCGTCCAGGCACACGTACACAATGTAATCAAATGGATCAATGTCCCTTTAATGAGAATACATTGCAGCAGCCTTAAACTATTGTCCACCGCTGAAACGACAGCTACATAATTGGTAAACCAAGAAGTGACTGTTGGTAATGCACGCGCAATAATTAAGTCAATAGCGCCCCTAAAGTAACCTTGAGAGGGTTCATTTTTGGAGACTTTTGCCGAAGCGTATTCGGTGGAACAAGCGCAGTTCTCCGTCAAGTTTATGCAGATATTTTTGAAGAGCCAGTATCTTTCGCCGTCCATGAGACAGTCCGTGAGAGTTTTAAATCACAAAATATTTATTAACGAGAACACGCGCTTGGCGGATGACTGTCGACAAACAGTTTTGCCGACGGCAGATCATAATCTTCTCCCGAAACTACTAGCTAAGCTGTTCGAGTGTGCGCTGCTAGCAATGGTTGGTAATTGTTAAACGTAAAGGTTGAGAAAAAAAGAAAATTTCTTCAAAATCTTTGTATCACACACATGCAGCTGAAACAGCAAATGCGACGCAAGCGCCAATAGCTGTAAGCGAAGTTGATTAAAAAAGTAGTTAAATAAAGTATCACTGTTTATTTCACTTTAAAGAACATTTCGTGGCGGACAAAATATTATTGAGCTATGAAAACCATGGTACAAAAACATAACGACTCGCTTTTTTTAATTTACGGTTGCAAATCACCATTAATAGGATTGTTCTTTCGTTAAGTCTAGGCTGTTTCATGTCACTCGTACTATTTTAACTTTGCTTTGACCCTTTTTGCAAGGCAATTTTACACGCGGAAATCAAATGAGGAGGGAGCCAGGGAGGGGGGGGGGAGGCAAAATTGCTGCGACATCTATAAAGGTTGAAACCTACGCCGATAATATGAGCATTCAGTGTTTATCACAGCCCAAGCAACAATTTTCTCTCAAGCACATAAAAGAGTTATGCAGTGTGTCAGGAGCCGACATGAACGTGAAGATAAGTTTATTTGATTTTAGAAAGAACTCTCATGCAATCCTGCCCGCTTAAGCGTAGGTACACTTGTATGCGGGACATGGCAGTACAAACATTTTCATCGTGTAGACATAAATAATAGCAAAATGTAAGTAAAACATGAAAGAAACACTCAAAATAATAGGTTAAACAGCGAAATTTACCCCCAAGTAGAAACCTCACCTGTCAAATAACACCCAGTGCGCCAATGACAATCAATGAATGGTTGCAAAAAAAACATTGTGAACTTAAACACATTATGACAAGAATCCACTCGTATTTAATAAGAAACACTCGATAGAAAACACTAAGCTTTTACGCAATACCTCATTGTTCAGCCTTTCAGTTCGACAAAAAACCCCACTCTTATTTAATTATACATCTGCCTCTTAGATAGGCCCAAGACGCCTTTAGGCAAGCTAATCAATATTGCAGGAACATAATAGTTTCTCTGTTTTTTCCCGTAGTTTGTATATATGTTTGGAATTGCATAGTGTTTTTATCCTGTTGGGTATTTCTTTGAATTCTTTCGAAAAATATTGGCTGGTTAAAACGACAAATTTAAAAATATTTTCAAACGAAAATAATCCGACTGCATTCTTCCTTTCCTTAGATTCCTTTAATTCATGTCTTGGCCCATCTAGTATATTGCTAACACATCTATTAATGATACTATCAATTTTGTGTGGCTTGTATATAGGATATGTTTAATATATAGTAATTCCGTAACGTATCACAGATTCCCCCAAAGATAGGTACAGCTCACGCCTCAGATTGGCGTCACATCCACTTTTAAGTCTATATAAATATGTAGAAACAACGCGAAGTTTTTGTATGACATGATCAATGTGATTACTCCATAAAACGTGTTCGTCGAAATGTAAACCAAGGTAGGGTGTTGTTTTAACAGTATCCATTTTTTCGCAGTCGCACTGATCACAATGTTGATCATGAAGGTATACCGGATCATCAAACGGAACTTGTTTATGAGGGCTTCGGAAACACATGAGTTCAGTGCTGTTGCGATTGACAAAAGTACAATTGTTTGCGAACCAGCTCATTAATTGTACTATATCGCTTTAAAATATAGGAGCAGCGAGATTTTATCGTTCGTGTGGTAATATTAATGCAGTATCATCTGCGTATTGAAGTTAATTTGATTTGAGCTTCAGGTGACCTATGTCATTCATATATATGTCAAAGAGTAAAGGACCCAGTGTAGATCTTTGTGGAACACAAAACTTCATTTTAATTTGAACACTTGTTTGACCATTGAGCTTCACCATTCGAAATCTGTTAGTAAGGTACCTTTTGAAAACGGCATGAAATGGCCCCCTAAAACCAATTCTGAACAGCTTTGCTAACATGACTGAATAATTTATAGTATCAAACTCTCGGGATAGGTCAAGAAACAGTTCGATAGCGATTTGAATATTGTCTAAAACCTAATAAATGCTATCCGAATTTTTTTTTTTTTTTAGGGGGTTGTGGAGATATTTATACAGCGAGTCGTTGGTCAGCCATTTTAAAGTTGCGACGAGTCACTCGCTGTAGATGAGCAATTTAGCCAGTGCAGTACAACCGCTAGCCTGGGGTCTTTAACGTGCACCACGCAGTAGTGATACACGACCGCACGCCGGTACGATGCTCATCCAGATCGAAACGGGCAGGGGTGGGGCTCGAACACAGGATCCCTGGGCTCTGCAGCGCGAGCTTTCGCTCCACGCGCGTCGAGCTGGGTGTGCGCTTCAGCCCACTCGACCACCGATCCCCCGAAAACTTTTTTTCATTGGCAAAGTTGTGTTTTTTGTTTTCGAAACCCATATTGTGTGTTGAAGTATTACAGAAATAATCAAGTTTGCTTCTGAGGCGTCAAGGATTCCTTTTGAAAGTAGTTTTGTGAAAGAGATAAAAAATCGTTCTATGCGTCCTTAATTTATGGCGTTGACACCAAAAGCGATGAGTGTTGTCTGAAGTCTGAGTTGCTTACAGCAGAGTGGCTGCCTTCCCCGCTTGCAATTGGTAATGCTGCAACAAACCAAGGAGTGCTTTAATCTATAGGTGCCAGATTAAGTGCTCTTGGCTCCACACGGTTGTAATCTGTCTACTGAAAACCTATTCAATATGTTATTCGAGACCGTAGAACATCCTTTGCTAGTATACCGCAGAACTTCTATACAGCCATTTTTGAAAATTGGCACAAGAATATTCGTACCATATGCTGTATGAATAAGAAGGGCACCTTTACTATGGTATGTCTCAATGGTCGAACTATTTGGGATCAAACCACCGAAAATATAGAGTGAAATAGACTTCCATTATGTGTAGCCTATATTCTATATGCTTGGCCGACAAAACATTCAGGCTCGGGTATCACAGGTAAAAGGTTATTGAAACTCACATACAATCAGTTATAACCGCTGCTCAAGCCTTGCTGTCGATTATTATCTCCCCTCTTCACCAGAATCTGATAGACTTGGCAGCCTAAGAGGAAATGAACGCTTTATCGAGCAAAGGAGCGACCTGCACTTGATTACGACAGATTGCCTGAAAGCTAACACCCTCTTATCAATGACCGTAGCGCTCAACCAAGATTTTTCGGAGTACCACTCATTCACGGATCGTTGCCTGTAAAGTAGGGTTGTATGTCACAACATATCACCTGAACAAAGACGTCGATACTGACTGAAAAGGTGAGTAGTTCAATTGTATGCGCGAAAAATAGTTTGGATCAACAGACTAGTCACTCAGGGTGTATGTTATATCTAAGCAGTGTAACTTCTAGTCACCTGAACCTCCAAGGTAAATGACTGACTTTTTCTAACTTTGTCGTTCGCACTTGATGCTCTTTAAAAGTCGTGCTCATCCCTGGTTATTCATACAAACTACATCAAAGTTAGTTGGTTCAGCTACTTATGATGAAATCAATAAATTGATAAATATCCTCCTGTTGTGATTGTTATAGACATCATGCTCCGAGAACTGAGGGAGATAAGGAGACGAGAGCGTTCGGGGACTGCGGAACGCCGAGCTTTGGTTGGAATGATTCGCCGAACGCCTTTGAATGCGAGAGCCATAAGCCTGACCAGTGGCGTGACTTGATGGGAGGGGGAGGCGGAGGGGGGGGGGGGGGGAGACCGTTTTGGATACACCAGGGCAGTGAAAAGGAGGGGGGGTCGGGATGGGTCGCGAGAGTTGGGGGGGGGGGGGGGGAGGGCTGAGGGGGGTGTTACCGCGGGCAACCCCCCAAGGTGCCTCTGACCCTAGGAACGCCACTGAAGATAACACCGGCGTTGCGCGTCCTGACGCGTTCGACGAGCGCAGTCAAGTCAAGGACTCCCTCTATTTCCATTCCACTCGTCGAACAAAGTCAAATGCGAAATCCAAACGCCAGATGCCAGAGTTCCACTACAGTGGCTTAAAGGGGTAGTGTAACGAACAAAACTGGAGAAGCGGCATAGCGTTGGAAGACGGCCGGGGGTGGCGCTGGCGCTTGCAGCACCGTCATTCCGGCTATGGCTCCGGCTTGGCCGCTTCGCTAGCTTGGCTTTGGTCAGCTCCGGCCGATCGCAGACTCAGTTGTCGACTACACTGTCGTCTGCTAGTTTCACATTTTTACTCACCTTCGAACAAAAACCATGTTCTTGGAAGTTCACTGGAAATAAATAATTGTTTTTGAGGTATTTATATTAGTTATGAAGCATGTTAGAATGCCTCTATCTACCGGCCGATAAAGGCACCCTAACGGAGCTGCAGATCGAAGCGCCACCTACACCGTCTTCCAAGGAGCGGCCGTTCCCGATACATGGTGGAGGCTACGCGATAACTACACTACCCCCTTAAAGCCACTGTAGTTCCACATTCTAACGCGCTCGACGAGTGCGGTGGAGAAAAAGGCTGCCCAGCTTTAGGCCCACTCACTAATGCTTCCCACCAGATCTCAGGGTTCTGACGTCCGCGCTCGCTTTCCTCTCCTCCTCTACATCAGTTTCTCGGCGAATAATTATTTTATCGTGTATTGGTTTGGTTTTCTAGCGCCTTTGAATCATCTTTTTCGAAGTTGTTTTATGAAGAGGGGAACCTTTTTATGGAACGGACGATGCTTAATATATTGTGTTCAAAACCATTCTCTATAGTATTCGCGGTATTTCAGCCATTTAACCAACGCTTTCGTCCCCTTCTTCATTCTCTCGTTTTTCTACCACGTATTTTTAAAATGAAGTTGAAGTTAGTTGCACTGGTTGAGGCAGCTAAAATAGACTTCACCGGCCTCAAAATGTTTCGCCCTTTATTTTTTATTATTTTTTGGAACACACGCTATTAAGCATCATTGGTGCTGTCAAGATTATCCTTTTGATCCGTATGACTCGCGAGACCGTTTTCTTAACAGGGGCTTTATTAATCTTAAATGTGCAAGCTGGCTCTGAAACATAAATTGCAGTGTTTTCGTATCACCCCCCTCCCCCGACCCCCTATATAAAAATATATTATATATTGCCCAACGCTCAGTCTTCGTCTCAATCAGGCACTTTAGGTTCGAAACAAATGCCGATGTTTCAGATTGTCGTAATTTGATGCAAAATTTTGGGTAACTTTTTTTTTCAATTTTTAATGAACAATAACGGCTGGCGAAGTCCTTCAATTCTTGAAGATGAGAGGCGTCGGAAAATAGGAACGAACCTGATTTCTTTTTATCGGTGAGGAAATGAGAAATGTTTGAAAGTCCTTTAGAGCTTTTCAAACCAGATAACATAAAGCTCTGACACTTGGTCATCTGGTCCGGCCCCCTAGCGCTGCATTAAAGCGGAGAGATCGTTTGATGATTTGTTGTTCGTTTGAACGGTGAAAAGAAGCACTCCATTTTTAGGACATACCGTAGCTGAAGATACTTTTTTTTAGACGTTAGGTTGTTTCTTTAAGCTTGTACCTTTACTGGATAGCTTTATCTGAGGTCGCTTTTTAGAATTGATTGCAATGCGTACTTTTTTTTTCATAAAGTCCATGTAATCTCCAACTATAGAGCTCTCAACATAATTTACGAATTACCTTTTTTTAATATGCCTTTAACTATAAAACATTTTAATTAAGTTTATTTCTGGATGTCTTTATAATTTTATACGTTGTGAAAATTAATTATAGTAATATCCCGAGAAATAGCCCACTCACAAGGGAGAAAAAATTGGGTCAGAATAAGGAGTAGGCTAGCTTCCGGTAAGCGCTAATAAAGAAAAATTCGATTTTTTATTTTGTGATTTGCAACACTTCTTAACATTGAGGTGCGATGGAGCATAGACCTCCTTGTCAGGATGTTTCCTTATCTCCCGTCGTAGTTAACGAGCCGCATCTCGGGAAACGTCACCCTTGGCCAGGGCACTGCAATTGCAAGGAGTAACCTATCTTCCAGAATTAAAAAAAAAAAAGAAAATTATATCAAAAATAGGAATGCGTTATCTTTCGGCGTTCGGGGCATCTTTCAGGATATTACGGTATACATTTTGTTCATGTCTGTGCGAGGATTTTTTGTACTGAAATATTGCTGCGATTTGAAAAATCGAGTTTTCTGGTTTCAGTTTAAGAAAATCGATATTTGAGGAGGTTGTCTGTGTAACTACAGTCAAGTGACCATCAGCCGATAAATTTTATGGAGTTTGCTTATTCGTTAGTGTTTTTGCTATTTTAAATACTCAGTAAAGAGCATCAGAGGATTCCAATGTGCATCCTCAACCATAATTTTAACAGTTTATTGAAATTAATCGACCTTTGCCATTTTTATCTATACTGCTCTACTGTATATGAATTTGCATTTGTCATAAACGAAGGTTCTGACAGATGTTATCCAGATTGGCAAACGTATGGTCGTAAAAGCTGTATACTAAGAACTTCAATTTCAAATTATAATAATAATCATAATAATAATATTATTCATATCTTGATTTCAAACAAAGCTTAATACAATCAAAACAGCCCCGACGAAGTCTGTAACAGACTTGTATGACTTGGCCCGGCAACATCGGCTAGAGGGACAATAACTAGTTGAAGAAAAGTTGAAGAAAAATGCAATAATACCAAAACCGAAAAATCCAGGTATACAAAAACAAGACATAATTCATAGTAACATTTGCACAGTATTAACACAGATATCCCACTCAGAAACAAAAGAAAAAACAAGCCAGACACACTCGGTACATGAAAGAACATCAGGAAAGGAGCGCACATCAAAACCTATTAAAAAAAAAAAAACTGACATTCGTTATAGCAGCCCTACAGCCTCTTTTAATTTTCTTTTGGAAGTCACGGAAAATATCTATTCCGGTAAATAATTAAAAATATCGGGAACATACACACAGCGTCTGGCCGTACCGTATTGCGTTGAACACCAAGGCACTGTAAAACGTAGGCCTTTTCTTCACAATCATGGAGAAACATGCTCAATTTTATATTCACGATTCCAGAAATGCCGTGTCACCACCGTCTGCTCAAATAAAGGACGAAAAGAAGGAAGGCCAACGTGACGAAAAATATCTGATACACTTAAAAGGGAAGAATTGTACGCAATACGTTTTTAATGCGTTCTTCAGTATAACTGTAAACACGGCTCTGCCAATGCTGTGAAACGTAAGCGAAGACAGTTATACAATATCTGAGTATGCTGTAAGGGAGAGCCTGAGCTACTGTTTTCTTTATCTCAACTTTAACAATACTTTTGAGATTAAAAAATAAAACGGGCTGCGCTACGCAAGCTACTGCACACCTAAGGTAAGTGACTTTGCCATGACATGTCACTGTAAGAAAAACACTGATATGTTTAATATACTTTACATATTCAACCGTAGAGCAGTTACACGGAGAACAGTCGTGACTATGAAAAAAAGAGGGATGCCAATCACTCTGGTTTTAAAGGATTTCTGAAACAAATCAGCTTTGTCTTTTGCACATTTACGGAAATGCCATTTTGAGATTACCGCCACATTTGTTCGGTTACATTACGTGGTAGGTTGTTCATTGCCTTTTCGTAGCGCAGGTATTTTTTAAAGCAGAGCCGTATCATCTGAGTATTGGAACACAGTACAGTTGTTAGCGTTTAAGCGAAATCATTTATAAAAATGTTAATTAAGAAGCAAAGGAGATAAAAATGAGCCACGGGGACACCGGCCTTCATTTGAAATTTACTGCTACATTAAATTTTATCGCCTAATACTACAATTAGCGATCAATTGGAGAGGTAATTTTTAAGAATCTAGGAAAAAGGCCCACGAAAATCGACCGCATCCAACTTTTGTAATAAAATATGATGGTTAACAGTTTCGAAAGTTTTTGCGATACCTAAGGAAATAGCACAGCTATACACATTTTGTACGAACGCGCCATGGCACATATCTGAAGATTCTACCAAAAGAGGTATGGTACCTCGTCCTGTAATGAAGCCGAACTGTCGGCTAAACAAAATATCACATTTTTCCAGTGATGACGTCTTCCCTTCGAGAAGAAAATTTTCCAATATCTGCGACAGTATTGGCAATATTGTATTGCCCTGTAATTTTCCATCTTGTTATTTTTCCTACCTCAAAAAGTGACTTGACCATAGCGGTCTTTAAATTTTCTGGAATGGCCGATTTCTCCAAGAAGCCGTTTAGCACAAAGAGTAAAATACCAGCAAGAGTATTGAAATTCCTTCGGAGCGTAAATGCCGACA